TCAGTGGAGGGAGACATTTCAGCCTCAGGGACAAATGAGTCAGTGACCTGGGCAGCCTCATCAACAGGAACATTGGATTTGATGGAGGAATTATAATTGTTAACATCAGCTTTACCTGTTTTAGTTGGACAGGCAAAGGTGTCAGCCACAGCGGCAGTGCTGTCCTTCAGTGTACCAGAGACATCAGAAGGTATGGAGATCTCTTCATCCTCTGCGTCAATGGTAGCCAAGAGGATTTCTTCTTCATCTATGTTAGTGGAAAAATCTATTAAAGAAACAGTAGCAACTGGTGGTGAAATATTGCCAATTTTCACTGGAATGAGATTTTCAGTAGTAGAGTCGTTCACTATGGAGTTTGTAGTGCCAGTCAGAGTGGTGATTTCTCTCTCCAGATGAGTTGTTAGCTTAATAAAATGGGTTCCAGTACCATCTTCTGATTTGAGTTTTTCCTTTGTAGGTATGAGTTTGTTGCCTGTAGTTGTTGAAAAATCTCTTTCTAGCATATACTCATTTACTGAAGTAGCATGGTCTCCTTCTGAAGTAATAGTTGTTTCTGATTTAGGAATAGTGTTGTCAGCCCCAAAGAAAATGTTTGCTTCAGTTGGTGTTTTGCTGATTTCTGTTGGCGGATGGGAATAAATTTTAGGCAAACCATCTTCAGCCATGGGGTGAAATGGCACTGCGCACTCTCACAGGTCTTCCTCCTGGGCTCAGTGGTCTCCCTAGGCAGGAGAGAGGTGTTGATCATGGTGATTACAGCGTGGGTCATCATGGTGATTGTTGCATCAACCACAGGGGCAACAGCACTGGCTCTCCTTGGAGTTTGTTTCTCTGCTATGATTGGTTGTCCAGTTGCAAGAATATTGGTAGTAGATGAAAAGACAATGGAGTCCATTCTGATTATGAAATCAAAATTCACAGCCAAACATTTCAATTGCAGGAAACTTAAGATTTACCATATTGCTGTTTCCAAGGGACATGCCTTCTGATATGGACCTCGTGTCACTTGAAACAGATAAAGCAGGGTCTACTAGGTACTTTACCAGTTTAGTATCAGGAGGGAGAACTCTGGAAACCAGGAGATTATCAGTATCAGCCTGAAGTCACCTGTCTTCCAAGTATGTAATAGTATCTTTTTAGAGGTGAAGCCATCTTCCTTTGAGATTCATGTATTTATGTCTAAAAAATTTAACAGCATTTTTGGAAGTAGGTATAGCTGCAGAAGGTAATTACGTAGCAGGGACATCAGTTCTCTTCTTTGGAAAGGGAAATCTCACTTTTTTAGTAGAAATAATAACAAATAGTTACTGGCCTGTTAGGATCTTTGCTGTTTTTTCCTTCATTGTAATTCTTATTTTTTCTTGAACGAATTTGAGTAACAGTGAGAGTGTCAAGTTTTGTAGGTTAAATTTTTTTAGGAATGCTTTCTGGCAGAGAGTGTTGCTATTTTAACCCCAAAAGACATTTTTGGCAGGGAGTTGGTGTTATGTGTCAAAATTCACCCAGAAACAAGAATCAAGGTGTGGAATAAGTGTATTAGCTTTAAGAATTATATTCTCAATTTCAGAGGGAGTATTTGTTATGGTGATATTAACTATATCAGACATCATCATTGTATTATCAACCTTAAGGTTTAGCTAATTACATGAAAGGAGATTTTTAGTCCAGTGTTAATGCTTTAGAACCAGTCTTTTCCCAGTGTTTTGGAAGAAATGGATTTTTCAGACTCAGAAACAACCAAATCTGGCAGCAGCATCAGCCAGAGTACTGGTTTCCATCTCAAGGGCAAATGCTTATTCTTCACTAATATGAACTCAACTCCAAAGTTTTCAGCTTCCTTTGTTAGTTGATTGTCCAGGTGTAGCTATATCACCATTCTCCATAGAAATATTAGAATAGATTTTAGGATGGCCATTTTTCGTTAAAAGATATGGGCAGCTTCTCTAGAAATGTTTTTGCTTCAGGGGAATGTCACAGTTGAAGGCTCCAATGTCTTTATTGATACAGGGAATGCTATCAGCATCAGGGAGAGGGAAGGAAGTCTTAAGATAGTAATAGGGACAGGCTCTTTGTTTTTAAGTAGAAATACTGTCAGGTCCTGGGGCAGGAAAGAAAGTCACAAGGTAAAGTCATTCTTTGAGTTGGCTTATTTAGTGGGAAGATTTTTCAACTTGTATTTTTTTCCCCCATCATCTAGTGTTTGTGAAGCTTAATTCAGG